AGACATAGTGAGGGAAGAAGGAGAGAGATGGGGGCAGAGACAGAGAAAGAGAGGCATGGAGAGACACAGACGGAGAGGGGAGAGGGAGAGAGGGAGGTGAAGAGGAGAAAGAAGGAAACGGAGAAGGAAGGGGGAAGAGCCCTGGCCGGCAGCCGCAGTGCCTCCTGTCCACTTCCCGTCCGTGTCTGCGCTGTCTGTGACTCACACACAGACCACGCAGGGAAGATCTAGCCCAGATTCCTTCCGTTTCTCTTTTGTCGGGCTTCTTAATGAGGGGCAGGGCCTGTGACGGAGGAGATAAAGGTAAAACCACCATCATCTCTGAGCCTGGGAGCAGGAGTGGGAACCCCGGGGTGGCCCCCCGGAGCGCACACTGCAGGAGCGCGCACTGCAGGAGCACGCACTGCAGGTGGCTCATGTTTCCAGGAGCCTCGGGGCCCCGCTCCGACCCTGGCCTCATCCTGGACCAAACTTACCCACCCCCGTCCCCGCTGCCACACTGTCAGGAGGGACACGCAGAAGACAAGTTAGCTCCACCAGTGACCAAAAATAACTCTGAGAATGTAACGGCATGCTTCTGCTCATTTTCAACAAAACCCAAGCTGAAGAAGCAAGACAGACACGTGGGGCTTGTGAGATGTCTCCTCACTTTCCAAAAGCCATATCTTCATTCAGGAAATGAAATTACTTGCAAAGCTATATCTTTCAGTGGCTTTGAATTTATAGTGTGTATGTGTGTGTGTGTGTGTGTGTGTGTGTGTGCGTGTGCGTGTAAAATACTTGTAGGTAGCTATCATTATTGTTTAGTTGTGGCTGGAGAAGGACATCATGGTTGGTAAAGTAGAGGGTCAGCAAAAATGGGGGAAACCCTCAATGAGATGGACTGACACAGTGGCCACAACAGTGGATGGAAACATAGCAATGATCATGAAGATGGTGCAGGGCCAGGCCGCGTTTCGTTCCGTTCTGTGTAAGGTCACCATGGGCCAGAGTCAACTCAACGGCATCTGACCACGATTGTGCGCTCTGCCTGCTGTGAAGCGGGTCTCTAGTCACAGCGTCGTGTGGCAGACGTATGGGATGGGTTTTTTGGGAGAAACTTACAAACGAGGATCATCAGGAGAGGAGGTGTGGGATCCCCATGTCTCCCCCACCCCCAGAGGATGCTGGCCAGGCATTCTGCACGGCAGACAAGGCTGTGTGCTCCGAGGTGCCCTGTCCCCTCCCTTCTCACCAGACAGGCAGGCGAGAGGCAGGCCAGGTTGTGTGGGGACCAGTGGCAGGGTGTCAGCGCCAGTGTGTGCAGGCATCGGCTGGAGCAACCTCCCACCTCTAGGCACTGTGAGAGTTCTAGCAGACTGTGAAGTTAGAGGGCACCACCAAGACCCCTGACTTTTGACACCAACTGTAAGTTTGGAGGGATCCCTGAGACCCCCTTCAGGAAGGATGATTCACTAGAAGGACTCACAGAGCTGGCAAAGGCGGTTATACTCCTGGTTACAGTTTATTACAGAGGAAGGTGCAGGTTAAAGCCAGCCATAGGAAGAGACATAGAGGTTGGAGTCGGGGAAGTGCCAGCCTGCAGGTGTCTGTGCCCTCCCCCAGGGAGGCAGGGTGCCGACATCGATGTGTGACAACCACACAGGGTACTGACCACCAGGGAGGCCCCCAAGCCTCTGTCCCAGAGTTTGTGTTGGAGCTGAATCACGTAGGTGTGACTGAGTGATTGAGTGTGTGATCAATTGCCCACACAGTGGCTCTCAGTCTCCAGCCCCTCAGGAGGTGGAACTGATACCATGTGACCCAAAGCCCCACCTCACATCACAGGGTTACTGTCTGCTGGCCCAAGGCCCCAAGCAAGGCTGGATATCCTGAATGCCCAGAGGTCACCTCCCAGGAGCCAGGACAAGGACAGCCCTCTCTTTATGCGAGGCCATATTCTCACCACTCTGAAGCTGGTTTTGGGTGCAGCTGCGCCTCAAAGGGAAGTGGCTCCTGCTCAGGCCTCTAGGGGCCCAGAATCCCTGTTCTTCACTGCTCTCCGCCCCAGCTCACAGCAAGGGTCCAGGAGAGGGGACCCCCTGCATCCTGGGGGAGGCCCACGTACCTGAGATAGCATCTGCCATGGTGCAAGTGAGGAGAGAACAGAGCCCGCTGAACCTCGGGCCATCAGACTCTGTGTCCGGGGAAGAAAGCCTCTTCTTCCAATGACCGATCACAAAGAATGGTTGATGACAGCAGAGACCAAAATGAGCACAGTCCTCATGGCCATTGCTTCTCTCTGAGACCCAAGTCACCACATTCAACTTCTCTGAGTGTTCTTATCACAACATAGAAGTGAGCGGGACTTGCAGATCAGTGGGCAGATCTTGGTAAAGTGCTTTCAGGAATGAATGTTTAACCTTACAGCAGGAGATTGTTTTTATTCTTATTTGACTGTTTGGATGGCACGTAGCTAAAATCATTACAAATTTCTTAAATTACAGATGCATAGAGTGGGGCCCAGGAAAACTTGAGTGACTTTCCCAAAATTACAGAGGAAATGAAGAGCAGAAAAAAGACTAAAACCCAGGTCTCTGAAGCTCCAGTCTTTATACAGCATCATGACGAGGAGGATGGCCACAGTGTTTTTATTTTTTTAAGGATGGGTGAATGTAATGTTTTACTAGCTTTATTTAAGTTTTAAGTTAAAAGTTTAAGCCACGTTGCTATTGTTAGCTTTCGCTGAGTCATAGGGATCTCACGCATAACAGAACAAAACGTTGCCCCGTCCTGCGCTGTCTTCATGGTCCTTGCTCTGGTTAAGCCCATTGATGTGGCTATTGTGCCAGTCCATCTCATGGATTTCCCTCATTTTTACCGACCCTCGACTTCAGCAAACATGCTGTCCTTTTCTACTGATTGGTCTTTCCTGATGACGTGTCCAAAGTAAGCGAGCTGAAGTCTCGCCATCCTTGCTTCTAAGGAGCATCCTGGTTGTGTTACTTCTAGGACCGATTTGTTCATTCTTCTGGCAGTCCACAATATATTCAGTAATCTTTGCCAACCCCACCGTTCAGTTTAAACCGTAGACCACAGGTTATGTGATCTTTTTTAAGAATTTAGACCGAGTGTTTACTCTTGATGGCTGGAGTGAGTCACGTGGGCGTGGAGCCGGGTGATGAGCTTACAGCTCGTGGGTTCACAGCAAAGCGCAGCGACTGGCGTGTAAGTGCCTGGTAATCTGTGCTGCGAGCGGTTTTGCCCAGTTATTCCGGAAACTGAGTGCAATTTAACATTTATGATTTGCTATTCATTGCAATAGTAAATATCCCCACCCGCGGTGCCAGAACCCTAATTAGCTCAGCCTTGGCCTCAGCTAGGTTGCCCACCGCTGGGTCATTTGGAGCTCTCACAGCCCGAGATGACAAGTTGAGTCACATCATCTGAAATCAGCGATTCCAGACGGGACCATCAGCGACTGCTGCCCTCACTGCCTATGTCTCCACGCATGGTCCAAGTAGCTGTCGAGCCAGCTGCATCCAGGAAGGACAGGTGGGTACCTGGTGGAAGCAGGTGGAAAGCCACTAGCTCAGTCTTCATGCTGCAGCTAGTAAGCACCCCTCCTCAACACCAGGAAGGCCAGCCAAATACTAGCCAGCTGTGCCCTGGTCCCTTGACCCTGAGTGGAATCGGCTTGTCTTTCCTGGGCCAGAGATAATCCATGGCCAGCTTTTATGGGCTGCAGAGAGTCCTGTACCAAACAGCCTACTCAAAGTCAAAGCCAGAAGTTCACCTTTGATTGGAAGAGCTTACTAGACAGCAACTAACCGCAAGATAGTCTGTGTGTTTTCATTGTTTATACACAATTTGATCTAATCTTAATAACATTTTTTTCATGCAGTTTTCATACTACCTTTTACTCAAACCAGATATTTATATATGTGGCCTCATTTGGCATGTTCTTCAAATAATAATATTGGTGTTGTTGGGTGCCATCGAGTCGATTCCGACTCATAGTGACCCCATGTGACAGAGTAGAACTGCCCCATAGGGTCTCCTAGGCGGTAGTCTTTACAGGAGCAGATCCCCAGGTCTGTCTGCCTCGGAGTAGCTGGTAGGTTCAAACAACTAACCTTT